TTCCTGAAAAATGGAAGGAAAGTTTTCTTACGCCTATTTTTAAAGCTGGCAATAAAGCAGACATATCAAACTATCGCCCAATAAGTAAATTGTCGGTTATTCCAAAGGTTTTTGAGTGTATTGTGACTGAAAAAATCTCCCCATGCTTTAGAAATGTTCTCTCGACTGCTCAACATGGATTCATTAAAGGAAAATCAACTATTTCTAACCTCTTATTATATCAAGATAATCTTGTTAATGCTGTAGAATTGGGAACTCAAGTAGATTCCATCAGCACTGACTTCAGTAAGGCTTTTGATAAGGTTAATATATCTATACTTACAAAAAAATTAGAGGCCTTGGGCATTCGGGGGACTTTTTTGGCATGGATAAATAGCTTTCTGGGCGGTAGAGTACAATACGTCAGAATTAAAAATTTTATTTCATTTCCAATAAATGTCGTATCTGGTGTTCCTCAAGGAGGACATCTTTCTCCCTTGCTATTTAATTGCTATATTAATGATGTTGAAGATTTTATCCATCACAGTGACATATTGTTGTATGCAGACGATTTGAAGTTGTATAGGCCTGTTAAGTGCATATCAGACTGTAAGCAGTTACAACTAGACCTGAATTGTTTTGCTCTGTGGTGTCACCTGAATGACCTAATCCTTAATTTAAATAAATGTAAAACCATAACCTTTTCTAAATCTCATGCATCAATTTTTTATGAATACAAATTAAATGATCAAGTAGTTGAAAGAGTGGACTCTATTAAGGATTTGGGAGTTACATTTAGACAGGACCTAACATTTAACTTACATATTGAGAATATTTGTAATAGGGCAATGAAACTTTTGGGATTTGTATTTCGCACCCTCAAAGATTTTAATAATATTTTTACTATAAGGAGCGTTTACTGTTCTGTAGTGAGATCCCTTTTGGAATATGCTACCCCAATTTGGTCACCACATTATGGGGTCCATATAAATTGTGTTGAGAGAGTTCAGAAACGGTTTCTAAGGTATATTGCCTATAAGATGCATATACCATCAGAAGAGGTCTGCTACAATGACCTGTTGCGGTTGCTGGGTCTTTCTAGTTTAGAGGCACGTAGAAGGAATTATGATATTTGTTTACTTTTCAAGTTGCTTAATAACTTAATTGACTGTCCCCCTTTGTTGAACAGCATTTCCCTGCGTGCCCCTGTGAGACAGACTAGGCAAGTGCATCTTTTTCATAGCGAGTATCATAGGACTAATTATGGTTTTTTCTGCCCTATGGCTAGAATATGCAGAGAAGCTAATCAGCTACCCAACAATTTTGATTTTTTTGGCATGTCTCTGAAAACTTGTAAACATTTGTTAAATAGTCTGCAGCGCTAAATGTCAGTGTATTTATATGTACCGTAAATGTTAAATTTTAAGTTCTTGTGTTTTTCGTTAATATTATAATGTCATATATTTTTGTATTATGTTATTTACTGTAAATGGCTTGTCCGTTAATAAAGTTTATTATTATTGAGTTTTTCCACATCTGAGCCGTGCCACAAAATTGTCGTATCGTCCGCAAAAAGAGTAAACTTTCCTGAAATTGGGAGTTGGGGCAAATCGTTGACATAAATCAGAAAAAGAACTAGGCTTAATCCCGTCAAAATAAAAACATGTGTTTTTTGTTTATTGTTTGCCAACCAGACGCCATTTGGACAGCAGTGGAATTCCGTTTCTCGATCTCTATCGAATCCGCCATATTTTTCCGATTATCGCGTTTCCATTTCACGAGCACCGATTCGATATTCGATTTTTATATTCGACTCACAAAGAGGAGTCGAATGTCGAAATAACTAATGACAGTCGTTAAAAAAAACTTCATTTGAGGTGTCAATTAATTTTATTAATTTTTTGATTCAAACCGGAGTTTTTTTATTGTGTGATCTTAAAACTGCTCAAAGTTCTACAAAAATAAAAAAATGGCATTTAGAATGCGTGAACCGCATTAAGCCGGTCCCAGACACTACGTGTATTTGGCGAATATTCGGTATTCGGGTTTATTCGCGTAGCGCGTGGGAGGGTAACTTTGGCGAATATTCGTCCTTCGTCATTTTCCCGCCGATTATCGGTAAACTGGCACGAAGCAAGAGAAGGCGAAGTGACGCGAAGTCCACTAAGGTTCGTCGATTTTAAACTGATACTCGGACGGAATCACAGAACATATCACCTATAGAAAAATATCTCAAATGGAAGAATCGCGACAAAGGTTTTTAGTTAGGTTTTCATTCAACGATGGCGACACTGTCGGGAGATAAGAGAAATTTACAGGTATCTGTGGTGTGGACAGTGATTTGTGTTGGTTGGTTTTGTCATTTATTTTGTCATTTTAAAAGTCAAAATTTGAATTTTTAAATTGTGTTGTTGTACCCCGTTGTACCCCACGGCACAGAATGGTTTCCACGCGCGTTAAAGTGAAAATTCAAAAAGTTTTGGTTGAAAAAAAACCTAATTTTTGTTCGTATTTTTTTGTATTTATTCGTTTGTTTCGTTTCGTTCGTATTTGTATTTATTATTCGTATTTACTTTGCGATCTACCTATAACTGCGTGTCTCTTGCTAACTTACTAACTCTTTTTGCACTATGTTCGACATCGGAAACTTCCTGCCAGTCATAGTTTTTAAAAAAATGAGGCGAAAAGAGCTAAGAGGAGTCAGCAAGCCAAATGCAGTTGAACATTTAAAATTATACAAAAATAATAAAAATATATGAAAAAAATCAATTCGCCTTTTTGTCAAGAATACTCGATTAGTTGGGTTTTCAGTCAACGAGGGCGCCGTAATTCATAACCGGTACATACCATTGCAGATACTTTTCTAGAGGTGATATGTTCTGTGGACGGAATGTGAGCTGGTGGCTCCCTACACTAGAATGTCAATGGTTACCTGACGTCACACCTGTTTTTGCCATATGAAACACCACCTCGCTCCTCATACCGCAAGTGTCAGTTAAAAATCGACGAACAATACGTGTGACTTCGCGCTGCTCCCAGTCGGTCTAAGGTATATGCCATAGTGTTTTGTCAGTTTATAGCGGTGTGCAGTGCCGCAAGGTTGATTTTTGCATTTCTAGTTATTTTTAATTAAAAAAAGAAATGGAGAGGACCATTGAATTGACGATAAAATTTTTACAATTCTTTTAAAATGAACCTGTCATTTGGAACCCAAAGATACCAGAGGTGTTTTCTCGCGTCTCAAAGTTTTGAAACATTTTTCAAAACTAGTTTAAAACAGTTTCACAATGACGTCATAACTTCTCTTGCGCGAGAAAATAGTTTAAAAAACATAGATTGGATTATATTTCCAAGCGGTTTGAACCAATTTTGTGTGAAATCATAGGTTCATCGCGAGATATACTATTTCAAACCTATTTTGAACCAGTTTCGCCGAACAATTGTCAAGCCAAAGCTTCACCATACCACAACGCCGTGTGGGAGACTAGGCAAATATTCGTGCGAATAACGAATATTCGCCTATTCGCCGAATACACGTAGTGTCTGGCACCGGCTTTAGGAGATGCTGGTTACTTTCCTTGAGGCCAACCAACGCATCTCTGGTAAGAGCCTACTGCATAGTACCTTAGAGCACAAAATATTTTTGACTCAAAATCAACACCTTTCATGCTCTTACGGTCTTCTAACAATGGCCTTAACTCTTCCATTAAATTTCGCACCAATCTGAAAACATTAAATTTTATTAAAAAACTCATAAGCATCATCTTGAACACTGTTGGATACCTCTTGTCCAGACGAAAAAGTTCTCTAAATCTTTGGTCAGGAAAATCAAATGGGTTTGACCTGGATCTAAGAGATATACGCCTTCGTATTAGTTCTCGTCTTTGTCTTGCAATAAAATCCAATCACGTACAACGGGTAACATTTTTCACAAAAAAATTAATCCTTTTATTTTGATTTTATGATTGTTTATGATTTTTCACTCAAATTGTGCTGAATGAGGTTATGTTCTCATATTTTCTTCTATTTATTTTCTCAGTAGTTCAAAAATTCATCTGAATTTGACCTAAACCCCGACGATTACCGAATACATTTTCGATCGAAAAATGGAATAGCTTTGAACAATACGATCGACTAACCAATCGTGACGATATCGGATAACTCGACGAAAAATGGAATTCCACTGCAGGTCGTTGGATTGCCTAATTTGAAATTTTTATTAGGTTAGAAGGGTTGTTACATGTCAACGATGTCAGAAAAGTGTCAGATTTGAGAACTCGCTGTATTGATAATCCCGCAAAAAAAAAACACATATGTTTTTTGTTGATTGTTTGCCAACCAGGCACCATTTGGACAGGTTGTTGGATGGCCTAATTCAATTAATTCATTTATATTGATAACCTTCGCCTATGGTTATTCGGCAATCATCTGAGCTTTGGTAGCTAACTATTTGTCTTGTCTGCCAAGCTTACACCACTAGCATTTCAAATCAAAGAGTGCTTTGAATACAAAAACGTAGAAAATCCTAGCCATAATGACAAGTCAATAGATAAGACTGGTAGGTCAGGCAGAGGTAGAAACTCGGGTAGATATTAGACAGGTAATTTGAAGTGTTACTTCTAACTAAATCAAAGAGTGTGGCCATTTGGCCATTGAAAAAAAGCTCTTTGGTTTGGGGCAAAGGATTGAGGAGGAGGTGAAAACAATATGATATTGCAATAGAATGGAGAAAGATAAAACCAAGGATAGAATAATTCACATATTTCCCGATGCCTGTGACATTTGGGCACCAACCTTGATCATATAGCTGTGGAAAGACATGACAGTAATAATACGGGCTATGATAGGGACTAGGTACCTCTAGTCTAATACAACTTGTTGAATTATTAAATATTAAACAGAGACAAGACAGAGACATATTTTTGAATATCGATTTTGTCAGCTTTGACTTGATTCATGAATTAGGAACCAATTACCAACGAAAGCTATGAAAATCAATAATAAATAAATAAATGACTTACCTTAATCCCAATTACATTCCATGTCACCTTTCGAAAATAGTCGGTTATACTTTGAGTTTTTTTCCCGTTCCTGAACATTTGGATCAAATTATGTTCGGAGTGGCACAGGCGACAGCGACGGTCATTATTATTTTGCCGAGTATTTTGCGAAGTCATTTTGCAGTTCACTTAAGATACCGTTTGCTTACTTTGTCGTCTAATTTGAGAAAGCCGACAGGAAGAAGACCACGCAAACTACACTTCCGTTGCGACTCAGCAAACCATACCATAAACCATAAACAACAAACAACAATCAACAATCGTTTAAATAACCACGTGCAAGTTGTTAGGATTTTTTTGACGTAAATGACAAACGACATGACTGACACCTGACACAGCGTTACTCAGAGTCGTTTTCCAATGACGCACTCTAAGCACTCCGAGCTGCTCTAGAGCGCCCCGGGCTGTTTATAGGCGTTGCAGTATTTCAGAGTCTCGCGCAACTGAAGTCGTTTTTCCTCTCAAGCACCTGCATTTTTATGGGTGCATCAAAATCACGACGCTTAAAGTAGTTTGTGTTTCAGTGAAAGACATTTGTTTGGAGCACCAGAGAGTGGGAAGCTACGGTTGTGGAGCACCTTAAAATTCGTCACTGGAAAGCGGCTGAGTTACGTTCGTGGTGCACAGAGTTTGACGCAATAGGTGGGTTCGGCTTGCTCACTCCGTGCACTCCGACTGACTCCATTCGCACTCCAGCCGTTCGGGTGTTGCTTTTTACCGTATTAGGGGTGACTCCATTAGCTCTGTTCACTCCATTCCAACTCCGTGCTGGGCCAAGATTCTAAAATCACGTTTCGACACACGACTCGACAACGATACCGGCCTTGTCGTCTCGAAAGGTATAATTCCAATGAGATTTCTAACCTAGAATCGTCGGAAAAATCGTCTCGATGTCGAGTCGTATGTCGAATCGTGATTTTAGAATCCCCAGCCTGAATAGCCAAACCCAGCTAAAGGCGATTTTCAGCCTGGAATGATTATTATTTGGTTATAACCAATGCATTTCCGCCGTCGCGGTTTTAACCAAAGTAGGGGAAGTTGTGACGTCACATATCAGCTGATTTGCTTTTGGTATTTACCATTTATAACCGATTATAACCCAGCTTTGGACTTGGGTTAATCTTTTGGTTACAGCTTTTTGATGTTATTGTTATTATTTTTGAAATTTGTATTGGTGTTTTGTGATTTTGCAGTTGCGTTGTAGCCTGGCACAATGAAAGAAGTGAACATTCACTCACTCACTGCAATTCACCATGTTTAGATCGAAGGTTAGATCATCCCCAAAGAAAATCTGTTCGATAAACGAGACTAACGAGAGATTCAGCTCCATTTTCTGTACCTAAACAAAAAACTATTGTTGAAACGAAAAAACAAATAAGAATAATAAACATAATCCTACACTGCTATAACCAAATCATTTCAGCGGTCAGTTCCTTGGGTTATGATTCTTGAATGGTGGGAGGCTATGACGTCACACTTGGCTGTCAAAGTTGGCAACCAAAAGAATAACCACGGTATTTACCGATAAATAATCATTCCAGGCTGAAAATCGCCTTAATAGACATGTAATATTGACAGTTGAGTTGAAGAGGGCGCTTCTGTACTTGGAGCTATTTTGGCGCGTAAATAATAGGGCAATCCAAACAAAATGGCGGTCAATGCCAAAGAATTGGCGCCATAAATTTAATTCGAACAACCGTGACATTATTCATCAAAAAATTGTTTTTTGTGTATTTTGTGGTGTTTTTAGATGATTTTCTAGTGTTTGGGAGGATAATTTACGTATTTTAAGATGGAAAGTTTTTAGTTTAAGAAATTATTAGTGGAAAACCCGGATGTTTGCAAAACTTATGATTTCTTTTTGACAAACCTTTACCTGCTAAACAATCAGGTAGATTCTATTCAGGATTTGTTTCCTGTTTAGTTTTTTCTTAACCAAATCCTGAATCCTGATGTTTATTTTATTGGTCTGCTATTCAAGGTATCGACACAAACTGATGTGGAGGATAGTAAATGACTTGGATCCATACACCATTTATGTAGAGAGAATTTTTAGTTTTTTAATACCTATGGATTTCGTAAGATTTTTTCTCTTTTGCTACAATCCAAGAAGCCCTCACAAAGTACAGACAAATTATCATTTCTCTCCGTTAAAAACCTGTGTTTTGTCTCTGCAGGAACGGCATGAAACTAGACTTTCTCGCGATTAGAACGGCCCCACAACTAAGTACAATACATAACGTATGCATTTTCCAAAAAATCAACACTTTACAGACTTTATACAAATCAAAAATCGCAATAAAAAGGCATTTTTTTTTTAAATAAAAAGGCCTCCATTTTGAATTTCATTTTGACAGGTCGTTGAATTAGGCAATCCAACGACCTGTCCAAATGGCGTCTGGTTGGCAAACAATAAACAAAACATATGTTTTTTTTTTGGCAGGATTAAGCCTAGTACTCATAACAGCGAAATTCGCTCTTTTTTGACATTGCTTCGACAATTTGACGTTTGATTCATGCATAAAACGTCAATTTGTCAAAGCAATGTCAAAATAGTGCGAATTTCGCAGTTATGAGTACTAGGCTTAAGTCTGATGTGTAGGTTCAAGACAAAGCTGACGCTGACACTTTTAAAAATATTCTCTAAGGGCCACTGAATGCTTTGGAAGATATTTTAACTTATTCATTGTCCATTGTTCATATTGTAGTCATCTTTCCTTCTACTCAATTTAAACGATTTAAAACTATTGACATTTACCGCCAAAATTTGAAGCACTCAAAGTTCACTCGCGCCCTCTACAAAATTTTGGAGAACCTAACTGGATATTTGCTGCCATCAGAGATATGTGAGGGAAATAGAATGCGCTTAGACGACTGCGCATACGATTTTATGGTAACGCATAGGGTGCCGCCATTTTTATCACTTTTCACTTATGCTGTTTCCGATTAGTAGATCTAGTGCAGTTTTCTTTATTTCAGTCTTTTTCTTCTACAGGTTGATGAAAAAGGATGAGAATACACTCAGTGCGCATTAAATCTACACGCCATTAGCACAGCATATACAAAAACAATTGTTTTTGTATATGCTGTGCCATTAGTCTTTACGTTGACAACTTCAATCTGACAAATTTTTCACAACATAACCTTACTTTTGGTCGGTTACAGATTGTTGTTTTTGGCGATTTTTCCTGCTTTTTCTGAGAGGTTTTGATCAGAACGGTGTTTTAAAAGATTAATTTTTGTTATTTTTGCTTATTTTTGGAGTTATGAGTTGTTCATGACCTATTTTTCCAATACTCAATTTGACAAGTGATATTCTATTCTAACCTTTGAAATTCTAACCAACAATAGGCCCCTTGCATCAAATTTTTTTTTTGCTGATTTCGATAGTCCATAAAAAATGAGTCAACACGTGTTTTTTCTTTTTCTTGTTAGTCAAAAATTGACGGAGATACAACGTTTTGAAATGTCCTTCTGACGTCATAACTTATAATACTTTGTGACGTCGCACATGCTCAGTATATCTATATATACAAAACTCAATATTTGTATAACTTTCGAAATAATCATATTTGGACAAAATAAAAAAACACATAAGTATCGGTTTTTTTTTTCAATAGACCTATCTATTTTTACCTGGCATGCGCGCGCAACACGAGGCAATGCCTTTCTATTGGCTAACCAGTACAGGTGAGAGGTGTTCGTTTTACACGCTGGACATCTGCTTCTCCTTGTTCATTGCCCGTGGTCTGACAAGAATGAAAGTACGGTTGATATTCAACTTGACATAACTTGAAAAGTGACATGCAAAAATTGTTTGACATTTTCATTGACAAATACGTTGCACAACATGCAGCCTTTCTCCTTCCCTTTTTATCGCATGCAAATAAGAAGAAAGGATTGCTATACGTAAGTCTAACATAATTTGGTACGTTTTGCCTCGTCTTGCGCAATGAGCGTTCTGTGTCTTTTTTCATCTAATTAAGTTTTCGTATTATTGCCTCTTTGTCTGGTAAAATAGATAGGTCTATTTCCTACAGTTTACAATAAACAATAATCAATTTAATTTTCCATGCAAGTACCCTATTCTCCCATATCTCTGGCTGCCATTGCCTCAAATCACTCTCAGTGTACTCTAAAGGCATCTCATAGTAACCGTGCATTCAGTATTTGGATCTGAGTTCTCCGAGCATGAATTTACCGTTCATTTATTCAAAAAGTATACTCGGTGCAGGCTCATTCGAGTTCATTTATTAAAATTTCTGGCACTAAGCTAAAGACATTGAACTAAACAAACTAATGGCGTTTCCGATTGGTAGTTTCAATGTGCACTGAGTGTATTTGCATCCTTTTTAATCAACCTGTAAAAGAGAAAGATGAAAATAAAAAAAATTGCACTAGTTCCGCACTAGACCTACCAATCGGAAACGCCATAACAAACACTACACCTTTTCACGTCGCTCCGGTTTAAACTAACCTGGGCCCGTATTCTCGTAACCGGGGAATAATGTTCTCTTAAATTAACGATTGCTCTGTCTTTGTCAGTATTATGGAAATAACAATATGGGTGAGTAAGACAGAGCAATCGTTCTCTTGAGAGAACGCTGTTCCCCGGTGACGAGAATACGGGCCCGGGTTACAAAACGGTTAGGAGCGGTATGTCAACTGATGACATTACTGAAAATGCCACTTGACTACGAACGGTGAGAAGAAAAATGTTATTTCAAATTCGATTTGAGGTTGGGATGGTATAGGTGTTTGACTTTGTTTTGTATTTTTAATTTTTGATTTTTCAATATTTTCGCCAGTGCCGTTAAATCTGACCCCTGACCTACCTATTATGTCTACTATGGACAAAACTATCTTAAATGTGAGCAATTCACAATTAATTAATATGTGAAGAAATATGGGAAGCAAGTTTTTTTTTTCAAAATTGTGGAATTATCGAGTATTTCATTCCTTTTTATTACAGCAAGCTAAAAAGTGAAAAGTAGGTAGTTTAATTTCTTTTCGTTCAATGCTTTAGATGTGGATCATGGGTGGATAGACCAACTAGAACCAGTTTATGTAAAGTTTAAAAGATCTTGTTACCTATAGTCTACAACAACCTATCAAGT